CATTCTTAAAGTATCTTTTTCTTATTCATCTTTGTAAGGTCTATTTATATTAAAGATACTAACACTTGGTCATATTGCTTGCATTTTCCTGGTGTGTTACAATGTTGCCTCTCTCTATAATTATATAGATATCATATAGATTTCAATCTGGTACATGAAGCCTTTCATGAGACATCAACAGCTCTCTGGACCAACATCTCCCTGGCCCTCTCTCTTCCACTATCGCCATTTACAAATACTTCTCATACAATCACAAATTCATCACCCATCCAAGCACCTACTGTAGAAAGTGGTGATACAGCAATGAACACAGTTACCCTTGAGAGTGGGAGAGTGCCCACAAATGTGTATCCGTTTGGCAGAGTACTGGTGCCACAAATATAGCCATGAGTGTGGTGGTACACAGAGAGCCAAGGCCTCTTCTGTTCCTGAACCTTATCCGTATACGGATCCACAGTAACCCCTAGCTAGGACTCAAGAGACATGGAAGTGCAAGTCAGTGGTGCCTGGCTCTCTCCATTTCTGTAAATTGTGACAGGAGACCCAAGATAATTATAGAGAGGCAACACTGCTTAGTCCTGGTTACTCTTTGGTGACATTTGTTGCACTCAACTTGCAGGAAAGGCAGCAGTTTGAAACCACAAGCTGCCGAGGAAAGAGAAAGACAAGGTTTTCTACTCCCATAAAGGGTTAGTCAGGGGAAAAAGAGGAGCGAATACCAAGGGCTCAAGCAGAAAGACAATGTTTTTAAAATGATGGAAACATATGTCCAAATGAGTTTGATACAATTGCTGTATAGATTGTTATAAGAGCTATAAGAGCCCCCAGTAAAATGATTAATTAAAAAAAGGGGGGTGGGGTTAGTCTCGGAAGCCCACAGGGCAGTTCTAATGTACTGGGTAGTGGTTAGGCATTGGACTATGATCCACATGGTCAGTAGTTCAAAACCATCAGCACCTCTGTAGGCGAAAGACCAGGCTGGCTTTCTACTCCAGTCAAGTTAGTCTTGGAAACTGTGGTAGTTAGGTTTTTTGGTGCCAACATGGCTCCAGTAAGAACATGTGGGTAGAGTTTAGCCTGTCAATCAGGTCGCAGCTTGATTGGCGGGAGACCCAGATAAATGGCTTCCCCAGAGCTGCCTCCTCTTTTATTCCCTAGAGGTTTTCTCTCTGCTTCACCTTCCTGTGGATAAGTCACAGTGGAGCCATGCTGAGACCTGGGAGAGCCCTGGACATGCTTCCACAGCCACTGGATCCACCAGACTTCACATCCATTGGCCTGTGATCTTCCTGCATTTTGCATCATTACATGTGCTGTGTATCTGAAGAGGAATTTATGTACTAGTGTTGGACTTATGGACTTGAACTGCTCTTGGCTGTTTTCTTAATATATAATTACTCTTTGATATAAAGCTCTTTCTTATGCATAGATGAGTGTCTCTGGATTTCTGTAGTCAACCCGGCCTACCACAGAAACCCACCGAGGTTCATTATGAGCCAGCATCAGCTGGATGGCAATGAGTTTTGTTTTTGTCCTTTGAACCAAAAGGATGTGCTACTGTAAGTAGTCTGCCCAAAGCACAGCTTTCTGGAAAATACTGGAGTTCCTTAAACACATGCAGTCAAAATAGCTGAACCAAACCTGCTTTCGAAACTCAAGACAGAGCACCCATGGAGTAAGGTACTCAGGTATACCCCTCCTGAATGGATAATGATCCCTTTCCTGTGCGAGACCTGGTGGCTTTCTGGTTGGGCAGCTCAGCAGCACAGAAGGAGGCAGCACTCCTCGGATGCTTTCATGAAAGCTTTGGATTTCACATTTGTACTTTCATTCTCAAGGGTCAGAAGGAGCTTTGTCACACATGACAGGGCTGGATGACATGTGAAGCAACATCTTTGGAAAATTCTCTGGATCCAGAAGAAGGGATGAAAGACAATGTGGCTTTCCATTTTCAAGTTTATTGAAATACAGAGTTAATAAGTTTTGCATTCTCTACATAAAAAGATTGGTCAGTTTCAGATGCTTTATAGAAAAATTAGCGCTCTAAAAACAAAATATATAAATTCATAGTTGGTTTTGTGATCAATGGTGAAAAATAACTATTAAAAGTTATCAAAATCCTAACCACCTCAGAGACCATTATAAATTTCAAACGATAAGTAGACTTGCTGTACATATCACAATTTCAAATTATAATATAGTAAAACATAACCACATAATTTGGCTACAGCTAGTTGGTTTCAGAAAAGTTAAAAAAAACAACATGTATCACACCGAAGTTATAAATCTATAAAACTTTTGTAACCTTTTAAACAATTCAAAATTTAAATCTTTAATAAGGATAAACAAAACAAACCTCTTAAATTTCTTATAAATACCACTGGAGACATATATTATACATCTGCTGCAAACTTTCTTTACCTCAAGTATTTCCTAGGACCTTTCTCCCAAAAGGATTGCTTTATAGAGGTCTTTCATCATTTTATATCAACAATTAAACTTCTATCGAAGTAAATTTGGACAAATTCTTTCTTCATCTGTTATTCTCCATCCTTTCCCAGTCAACTTTTTCTGAAAGGCTTTTGCCCCCAACTATTTTTCCCTTTCACAGTGACTGACTGCAAATTTGGTTGACCGTAAAGAGATCTTTAGAATGGGTAGCATTTGTGTAAGCACCTCTCCACTACCGTGACGTGGAAGATCCAACAATAGACTACATCTCTGCCTGAAACACAAAACTAAAGAATATATTTACAGATGCATCAACGATGGCAAGAAAACATGGTAGTCTTAAGAACAAAGCCTTAAGAAGTTAGTTCTATTAAGCAAGTTCGTGGGACTCTTCGACAGACAAGTCTATGATCCCAGGGGCTATTGCATTGCTCCTGGTTGTGGGCTATGGTGGGACCCGTGTTCTTTCTGAATACACAGGCCCTGAGCACAAGGGTAGTCCCTTCTGAGGTCTACGCTAAGCCTTCTTTCCTTTCCAAAGGTTTGACACAAGTGTACATCACAATAAGCTACAGCTCAGAATGGCAGTAAAGAGAGGGGAAAGGTCCAGGATACTTAAATATGGGTTCTGGGATTCCCTTTGCGGGGTATCAAGAAGCACCAATGGTGGTAAACATCTAGGGGGCAAAGTACATAATCTTAAAAGGCAGGCGGTGACAGTTTTGGGTGGAGGTGACAAAGGATGCTCTGATCAGAGGAGTAATGTAGGACTCTCCTTATGGAAACAAGAACCCCTGCGCCCCAGTAACCCACCGCCTCTCAAACACCACTGTCTGCCATACAAAAGAGTTCCAAACACCTCTGGCAAACTATTCCCTCCCCCGCTCCCCCAGAAACCAAACCAGCTGACATCAGTATTCCTACAGGTAAGTCCAGCCAGGGCAAAGTAAGGTCCAAGGCTTATGAGAAACAGTCTCTGGTCTTTAGTCAAGTATTAACGACACACCCCAAAATAATAACAGGCCCAGTACAGTAACACTCCCTGCCCCTGAAGCGTGTTTTACTACGAATGGCAAGAGGGGAAAATAGAAGAAGAGCACATTATTACAATCTCATCCACATCTGAGAAATGGCACGGAGGAAACACAAGGAACATCTTCTTCAGCTTTCAGGGCTGAAGGAGTCTGGCCAGCAGCTTCTGGGATTTTAAAGTCAAATACAAGAAGGTGTTGGAAACAAAGGTCTTTCTTTTTAAAAAATTCAACAGTGAGTTAGTCAAATTAGTATTATTCTAGGAGCGCAAAACAGTTGGCACAGGCCTTTCCAGTTTCTTAAATCAAAACAGCACAAAAACCTGGGTTCTTTAAACTCATGAGTGGCAATGACGACGCATCACCTGAGTATTGTTTACTGCAAGGAGTAACCTCTGAGGCCGCCTCCTTGTTGGTGTGACGATACGCTCAGTCCTCACGCCCATCAGTCTCTCCTTAGATTATCCAATATCAACTCTCACCGCTTTCAGCAGAGGATAAAAATCAGCGACCAAAAATCCTTTCATTACATCAGACAGACCTTCAGGGAGGAACTTGGTTGTCAAAAACCCAGTCTTGTGGAACTGGAATATGGAGGATCCACTGAAAGGAGTTAGCAAAGGCCCTGCTACCGGCAATGACTTTTCTGTTGGTGGGAAGCAGATCAATGAAGAACAGGCAAGAAATAAGTGATACTGTCAGACCTTGCACTGGTGCAGGTGCCAGTTAAAAAGGGAGAGCATGTTGCTGCTGAACTCGGCTGAGAGGAGAAACCAAGAATTGTAATTGTAAATAACAGGGAAAGGGGGTGTGGGGAGTGGCAGGACTAGCTGCTGATTACCCCAGCTCTTGGCCTGCTTCTTCTCACAGTCTCTAAGCTTGCTCAGAGCCCAGGGCTCCCCTCCCAGCACTGGCCCTCACGGGGCCTGTGTCCCTTGGGCCTGCCCTACCCACAGGGCACTACCTCCTATTGGCTATTTAGGGTGCCTACGGGGAACATGCGGGATTCATTTTGTGACTCCAGATGGATCTTCAAGGGATGGGTACAAAGAACTCATGCCTCCTCCTCACCCCCGCCCCCCCAAAAAAAAAGAAAAAGGAAAATTTTACTATTTTTACAAAGCACCCTCTCTGATTGGTGGCCTTTAAAAAAATGAATCTCAGATGCTGTAAGGCAAGTTCCTGAAGCTATGAATTCATTTTACTTGTCTCTCCAATCGCCCCTGTGTTCCCCTCCCCGCCATGGGAGGAGGACAAAGGAGAATGCAGAGAATTAAAAGAATTTGCCATGTCAGTGTTCTGACACGCTGGTGCCCAGCTTCAGTGGGATTCGGCTCTGCCCAACCCATTAGCAAGGCACAGGAAGAAGGTCCAAGATGAGTCACCTTATTCTCGGATCTTTTCTTCCAGGA